CTGATTATACTCCTTGGTGCTGTTTTACATGTTCTTCTGTCGCAGAAATTTCCTGTAAATCGGTAGTTACAGCTAGAGACTTGATCAGATTCAGACGCTTTTGTTAGTTTCATTTGTTTGTGTAAGTAGTCAACATTTCATACACTTTACATAAAAAATGCCGATTTGGGCTTCATTTGAAAATTCTACAGATCTGCCCCCCTCAACCCACCCCGACCCGGCACGGGTTGCTCTGGGGCTGGGTAGCGACCACGCCTGTTCCCCACTTAGGTGGGACATGCATTATCCTGCAGACCCCAGTTCACACTATTTCCTGCCTGGCTCCCAGGAGCCTTAGGGCCCGTGTTGTAAACACTGCCTCTTCAGGGTCTTTGGTAGACCTCTCCATGCACCATCACAAGAGGACTTTTCAGGAATGTGGTGGAGAGTAGAGACTACTACAGTTCAGACAGACTTTCTTAAATGCTAGAAGGGAAAGAGATAAGCAGCCACATAAAGGGAGGCCAAGGGATACAAATTTGGTGAGTCCCCAGGATGAGGGATAGAGAGAAGTAAAGCAACAAATTAACGAGAGTGTTGCAAACATGGGAGACCGAACTAACGAGTTCTGGATTCCTAACCCCTGGTGGGAAACTAAGGAAGGAAGTGGGTTTTAAAAAGAGACAGACTTTAGTCTTTTTATACATTATGATAATATTGAAACCTTAAAAAGGGGGGGAGGCTGACTGCAAATGTTACATTGACCAACAGCCCTAAATCAGAAAGTGCAAGCATGTAGCTGTAGCCTAACAGAAATCAAGTGGGGGTTAAAGGAAATGAGGGTAGAAAACGAGGAAAACTTCCTGGGAAAGTCCACTAGGAAAGGACCAGAAGCCACACTGGAGATGCAGAAGAACTGGAAGATATTTCAGAAGAAAGGATCTCAAAAGTTGTAGCATTTTTTTTTCTGATTTGCAAATGTATTGAACGGGAAGGTATAAAAATATAGAAAAACAAATCCCATTTAGTTGTTTTGGAAAGGATAAATCTTTACATAGAAGCATAAAATTATGACACGTTGGGATGTTCCTGGAGATTTCCAGATAGTTTCCCATACTCAGAAGCATGATTAAGAGAGAATCTGAGACTGGTTATGAGGAAGGGTGGAAAATTTTGAAGGACAGGCTGATTATGTAAGTTTTCGGCTGTGGTGTTTAAAACTGTTGCCATGATATTTTAGTGATTAATAACAATTTGGGGAAATCTACTCGCTTCTGGAGAAACATTTGGCTCTAATGAGAAAGAAATGCCACTGTTTGTGAATTCCCAAGTGGATGTAAGGAGCCATTCACTTGCTAAGCCTCTTAGGGAAGCCAGAGCCGATTTCACCCTTAACAAGCTGTTGACAGCGTCTGATCAAGGTACCACCTGGAACATGTTAGCAGCACAGAAAGTGGACTGTGGAGACAGACCTGTGTTTAAATCCCTTTATGTCACTCACCATGTGACCCTGGCAGCTCACGCATGGAAAATTTCTAGGGTATAAAGGTTGCCTTACGTTCATAGCTATGATTCTTACTGCTTGGATGGTAGGACCTTAGAGCTCTGAATAATTGCCTTCCACTAGCAGCCACAACAGTTTACACTTATAGAATGCTTACTGTGGGCCAGGCACTTTTGTAGATACTTTGCATGTATTATCCCATTAAGTTATTAAGAAGCCCTACAAGGTAAGTGTAACATTAAAATAAGCCTCATTTTATAGATGAGGAAGCTGAGGCTCAGGGAGGTTAAGTAACTTGCCTAAAATTACACAGCGACTCTGTAAGTGACAAAGCTGGCTTTTAAACCCAGCCAGGCAGAATCCAAATGCCAAACTCCCTCGCTTGACTACTTCCCGCCTTCCAATCTTAGGGAAGCACAGAGAGTCATGCCTCATACTGGCACATTCCAACCCGTGGTTCCTAATTTGTGTACCTCAGTTTTCTTGGAGGTCTCCAAATGGTTTTCACAGTTTCCAAAAGCCTCAACGAAAACACATAAACTTGCAATCAGACCACAAGTTTCTTTAGGTTGGAATCTACGATTGACAATGAATTGGCTCAGGTTTTGTAGAAGCTCTGATTGGTGGTTATTTACACAAAAACATTGTAGGGTTGTTTTTTAAGTGGGAAGATGAATCATTAGTTAATAAACACAGTGTAGTGGAATAGATCTTTCTAAACATGTGGGCTACTGAGAAAGACTAGAGGGTGCTTGGCTTCGAGAAGGTTGGGAACTGCTAGTGTACATGTGTGTGCATGTTGCCCAAACTGCCAGCCTTTAAAACCCTGCCTTTATTTTTAAATTACATAATTCTTTAATTTGACTTTAAGTCAATATATTTTTCCTTGATTATTTAAAATGTTCTGCTAGCTGTGTATTTAATATTATAATCTACTTTAGTCTTCAAGATGATAGGGTTCTTAAAGTATGGTCCTGAGCGGAGATGCAGAATTGGAAACATTGTATTCCAAACTAAAAGCAGGATAACAGGCTTTTTATCCTTCTAAGTTGTAACCTGGGAGTAAATCTTTGCTCAAGCAAATTTTACAGCAGACTCCTACTACCAAAATGCAGGGAACATGGGTGGTTTTGTTGAACAAAACAAAACAAAACAAAAAAACAAGCAAGCAAACAAAACCTGCACGTTAGTGCAGGAGGCTGATAGCTCCACAAGGCAAGCTTGTGGAGTAAGTGAATACTTTTTCAATGAGCAGTCCCAGAATCTTGGAAGAAAGATCCTAGCGGGCAGTCAGCGCCCTTTATTTGAGGAAGAGGACTGGGTCTTTTGCGTGAAATGCTTTTTTATACCACGTTGGGAAAATCGATCTAGCCCCCCCCCCACCCCGACAGCCATGGGAAAGCACAGGTGACACACTATTCCTGAGAATTTGATTACATTAAAACTGCATTTGACTTTCTCTGAATCCTGCCTCTCTGAAATGTGCAGGGCTTGGATGCCCTCTTGAGATCTGGATCTGGAACTCAAGGGCCCTTCTGCCGCCCCAGGCCTTGTTCTGATGGTGACAGTGGCCGCTGGCCCCCCAAACATGTTGTCCTTGGGCCAGGTTCCTAGCCGTGTTCTCCCTCGGGAATGAGGCGCAGGCCACTGCCGCTTTGGTGGAGTCTGGGGCCCCCGCGGGGCCGTCGTCGGTTCCTGCCCCCAGCCCCCACCCCGCCGTCGCACCAGGTACGGTCTGGGCCCCGCGCGGCCGTCGTGCGTCCCCCGCCCCCGGTCCCGCCGCCGCCCTCCCGAGGCCTCTTACTCCGCGCGGCGGTTCCCCGGCCGCCCGGGCCCACGGGCTGAGGGTCGGGCCAACCCCTTCCCAGACCCGCTGCGTCCGCTACCCCGCGCCGGGGGCGGGCCGGGCCGGCAGAGCCGAGCCGCCGGCGTCCATTTTCTGGGCGGTGCTGTGTGGCGCAGCGGCCGGACTCGCGGGTCCGGAAGAGCCATGGACCCCTGGGGGAACGCGCTGGCGCTGGAGCAGTCGAGCCCTGTAAGTGCCATTCGCAGGGTCTGTGTGCGGGGCTGGGTGGGCGAGGTGCGGCCTGCGGGCGCGGGGCCCCGGGCGCGACCAGCCTGACCCCTCCTCTTCTCAGGAAGGAGCCCCGAAACCTGGCTGGCAAAGGCTGGCGCAGGGCTGTGAGCTCCGCGAACGCTGGAAAGCCGAGCTGCTGCAGGGACCCAGCGGCCGCAGGTGCCCGGAGCCGGGGGCCTGCGCCTCAGCGGGGAGAAGGGGGCCAACTGCAGACCCGGGCAGGTGGCGCCGCATCTCGTGGCCCAACCGCTTGACTGTGCAAGAGGTCCGGGGGCGGGGGGAGAAATGCGCACCCAAGGGCTGGGGACCTTAGGGCTCAGGTCCAGCAGGCTCAGGAACTGCGCTGACAGTCACAGCTCCCCTGGCTCCGGCCTGCGACTGGGACTCCAGTCCCGACCCAGTGGGAACCTGATGATTTTCTTGGTTCAACACCAAGCCCCTGGAATTGAATGGGACGTGCAACGGCAGGGCCCTGCCCCCAGGGGTTTGCAATCTCAGCCTCTTACTTTTGCAAGGAGTTAGGTCTGTTCTGTTGGTACAACACAACCGCCCGCTGTAAGCTGCTGCTTTGCAGGGTGTATAATAAATCACCCGAGATTTTAGTGTGTCCGGGATTCCACTTATTAAGTCTTGCTCTGCTGTAGGTAAGTGACTAATTCCATTCTGGACTGTGGCCCTAATTGAATATTCCTTTTAAGGATCCATTATAGATGATATATGTTATGGTGCCTTATACATATTTTAAAGGTTAAAGACTTTTCTCCCAATTACGAAGCTCAGCTACTCCTGTTTGGTTCGCATGTCTAAAAAGCAGAGGAGAATTTAGTCCGTGGTTTCAGAGAAACTTCTGGTGAGGTACTGTATGTAAGTGTAGTGTTTCTCCAACAAGAGTAGGGACGCATTAGAAGATTGTGGAATCAGTTTAGTGGGTTACTACAGGAATTTTTTAAAAAGATATAAAATACGTAATTCAATATAGAAAAGAGAACAGAAAATATCAGAGTGCATTGCATTAAGAGTAAGTGTTGTTTTGAGACTTTGGGGTTTATATAGTGTAATTTTTTTTTTAAATGGTAGGTCACTGCCACAAAGTTTTTAAAACACTTGTTTACAGGTTAATAACCCAAGCTTTGGAGTCAACTGAACCTGGATTTAAGTCTCAGATCTTACATAAACTACCTGTGTGACCTTGAATAGATTCCATGACCTTTCAGAGCCTCTTTTTCTGTAGCTATAAAGTAGGGAATGTCTCCTACATCGGAGGGGTATTATGAAGACTATATGAGGTCACATATGTCAGTATTTTGCTCAGTGCTTGACTTAAGAGTAGGTGTTCAAGACACATGGTAATTGTAATTACTATTGTTGCTGAAACATCAAATCCTGGCAGCCAGTCATGGGACACTGTGTTTTTTCTTCCCTTCTTTCTTTCTTTTTTAGGTCTTGATGTGGAGGAGATGGAGGACTCAGAACCAAGAATTTCCGAGTGATTCCTTCCAAAGCACAAGAAACTAACTGTTAGTGCTGGTGTGTTCTAACTGAGGTAACTGAATTTGTGTTTCTCCTTCATCTGTATGAAATAAAAAAGGGTTTTCCTGAGGGACTGCAGGATTCCCAAGGGGCATATGATTTGTGCCAGCGATCTACCAGATTGGGGGATTACAGAGTGACAATGACATTTAAGTGAACTGTTATTAAGGAGACAGGAGGCCCCTGTGATGAAGGGGGGACTAAGTGAAACAGGGCTTCAGGACAACTGGCCTCTCATTCCAGTTCTGCCAGTGACCGTCGTGGGAGCTTCTGTAAATCTCTTCATAGATCTCTAGCTTGTCCAGACTGGAAGGGGCCACAGACATCATTGAGGCCCAGAGAGTTTAAATGGCTCTTCAGGGTAACCCAGTGGGCTGGGGCCCAGGCAGGATGACACTCGGATCTCCATTGCTCAGTCATGTAGCTCAGAGGCTACCGGAGGGAGAGCACCATGCTAGGCCCTGAGAGTACACATGTGAAGAGCCCACCCCCCGGGATGCTTGCAGTTCATGTAGACAAGAACTGACAGCCCAACAAAATGCTGTTTTGTTTTGTTTTGTTTTTTAATTCCTCACAATACCCCTACAAGGTGTAAAGAAGAACAGATGTGAAGGAATAAAGTGTGAAAATGCAGACAGGTCATGGAGGGCTTTATATCTCATACTACATGTGTGGTGCACATTCTGTATGCAAAGCACAATGCTAGGACCACAAAGTTCAAGGCAAAGTGCTGGCCCTTGAGGAGTCTGCAGCCTAAACTCCGAAGAGGCAGTCAGTTGGGCAGTGCCTGATGTTCACCCCTCCTTCACCTGCCTCTCCAGCAGTCAGCGTGGGATCTGTTAACAGGAAGAGACCTGAGTAGCTGACATTTCACAGTTCTTGCCTTTTGATGCAGTTTTTCATTTTTTTCAAATTTAACCTATACTTCCATCTGATTACTAAAACTGATACTTTCAACTTATAAACAATAGTAAGGTCTTCTCTGAATTAATTCATTGATTTGTTCACTCAACAAATGTATATTAAACTCCTTCAAGGCACTTGGGTATTCAAGACCAAGCATACTGTATTTTTACAATCATGGTATTAATCATGTTCAATCTCTTAGCAAGGAATTATTTGTCCAACTGTTAGAGATTTGCTGTTGTTAACATACTAGAATATCAGCTCCAAGGAAGTTTGAGATTGACCCATAAAGGATACATAGATCTTTAAAAATCTTGAAATCCTAAGAAAGGAATTTCTTCTTGGGGCACCTGGGTGGCTCAGTCGGTTAAGCATCCAACTCTTAATTTTCGCTTAGGTCCTGATCTCAGGGTTGTGACCCAACCCCCATTGGGCTCCATACTGGGTGTGGAGCCTGCTTGATTCTCTCTCTCCCTTGGCCCTCCTTCCCCCCCAAAAGGAAAGGAATTTCTTCTCTTTTAAATTTTGATTTCGCCATTACTGTCACCTGCTTATAGAGGTCTTTTGTTTGTACACTTAACCAGTAGACATAGAGGAAAGCAGTTTGGCAAGGGGGCTTTCTTTAACTTGAAATGCTCTCCTCTTCTAGCTTTGTAGGCTACTCAGGACTAGAAGTGTTCAAAGGTAAAGCAATTTAAGAGATACTCTAATTTACAGAGTACAAAGTTAGAGAGCTCCAATAATTGCATTAAGCAACAGAAATCAGTTTGTAAGTCTTGAATGCTGCTTGTAATAAACTTAACTCCAAATAGAACAAATGAGATGTTGAATGTGAATGTGCTTTGTAAACTTCTAGGAGTTCTATAAATGTCATACAGCAAATATTTATTGAGTGCCTACATGAGTACATTATTGTGCTAGAGGAAACAGAGGATTCAGCAGCAAAAAGATCTGGGTCCTTCCCTCTCAGACCCTGTTATGTAGATGAGGAAATAGCATATGCAGAACACCGTGTGGTAAATGCCTAAAAAGATAGTTTGGTAATTCGAAAAGGAAGAGGTCTCCTTTACCTCTAGGAGTCAAGGGACTCTTTTTTGAGAAAAGGCATTTAAGCAAGTCCTTGAAGGATGTAGAGTTTCCATAAAAGAGATGGGGAGAAGGGGCACTTGGATGGCTCAATCAGTTAAGCATCCAACTCTTGATTTTGGCTCAGGTCATGATATCAAGCCCCATATAGGGCTCTGTGCTCAGCAGGGAGTGTGCTTGAGATTCTCTCTCTCCCTCTCCCTCTGCCACCCCCTTTAAAGTAAATAAATAGGGGCACCTGGGTGGCTCAGTTGATTAAGCATCTGCCTTCTGCTCAGGTCATGATCTCAGGGTCCTGGGATCGAGCCCTGCGTCTGGCTCCCTGGTGAACGGGGAGTCTGCTTCTCCCTCTTCCTCTGCCCCTCCTCTCCAGCCCCCCATCCCTGCTCATGCACACACTCGTGTTCTGTCTCAAATAAATAAAATATCTTTTATTTTTTTAATTTTGTTTATTTTTTAAAGATTTTATTTATTTATTTGAGAGAGAGAGAATGAGAGAGAGCACATGAGAGGGGTTAGGGTCAGAGGGAGAAGCAGACTCCCTGCTGAGCAGGGAGCCCGATGCGGGACTCGATCCAGGGACTCCAGGATCATGACCTGAGCCAAAGGCAGTTGCTTAACCAACTGAGCCACCCAGGCGCCCCTAAATAAAATATCTTTTAAAAAGATAAATAACTCTTTTAAAAAAGAGAGATGAGGAGAAGGCATTTGAGATAGGAAGACTAGCAGGAGAACAAGAGAGCATGGACCATATTCAGGGAAAGGTAGTGAGTCCAACTGAGTTAGAACTGGCCTATACAGGCATCAAGTGGGAAATAAAACTGAGAACATTCAGTGGCAAACAATAATGGTCTTGTAAGTCCAGCTGGGAAATATGAATGTATTAAACCAATAGGAGTCTATTGAATATATTTGAACAGGGGAGTGTCACAGCTATGCATCAGGGGCAAGCTCTTGTGAGTAGCTCATGGGGAGAGCGATAGGGAGGAAAGGCAGGGCAGAGACCAGTTAGAAGGCTCCCACAGTCCATCAGGGAAAGGGGGGAGTGTGGGAGGGGAAGATGTGAAATGGGAAAGGAACAGATGCAAAGGAAAGAACACCATCTGACATCTCAGTGAAGAAGGAGTAACTAAAGCTGCCACTGAGGTCTCGCCCAGAGTGCTGCCGGTGAGGGAAACTTCAAAGGTGGATAAGGAGCTGCATTTCAGAGGTGCTGAGTTGGAGGTGGTGACAGCCCCCAGGGGGCTTTGTGCCACAGAGGAAAGCTAGAGCTAGCTTGGGAGTCATTAGATATAAGAAAAAGTCAGGAGGTGGGAGAAAAGATTTTCTAGAGAGAGAATATAGGGAGGCAAAGGTTGAGGATGGATCCTTATGAGAAAAGAAGGAAGGACCTAGGGAGGACCCAGAGAGAAGTCTGGCAAGGGAGAAAGGAAGAACTGCAAGAGAGCAGGACTCCAGCAGCCAGCCAGCAGAAGGGATTTCCCAGTGGAGGGAGCCGGAAGTGTCAGATGATGGCGGAGGGCGGGGGGTGCTGAACTCAGGACGCCATTGGATCAACAAAGGCTAGATCATGTTTGTTGGCACTTCTGTTTTTGAGGTAATATGACTTGCTGAATGAATATTAAATGGGTTCATTTCTAAGAATTTGTAGTTTGCACAAATCAAGAATCACTGTTAAATTTGATCCTAGCTAGCCCCCCAAAACACTTTTTTTTTTTTTTAGGATTTTTTTTATTTGACAGCGAACACAAGCAGGGGGGAGTGGGAGAGGGAGAAGCAGGCTTCCCGCTGCGCAGGGAGCCCAATGCGGGGCTCCATCCCAGGACCCTGGGATCATGACCTGGGCCAAAGGCAGACGCTTAACAACTGAGCCACCCAGGCGCCCCCCAAAACACTTCTGATTACTAAAAATACAGCTTTTAAATGTGGTTTTGATAGTAATCATTTGTACACTTTATTCTGTTGTGAGCAGACAGACCAGAGAATATCTGTTGATAGGATAAGTTCTTTAAGAACTACATTTCTGTTGATGCAAGAGGTTTGCTAAAAGTAATTTAATTCCTTTGCCTTTTACTAAATGGCTAATGTATGATGTATGTATGTGTGAGAGAGAAAGAGAAAGAGTGTGTGTGTATGTGTGTGTGTGTTTTCATGGGCATATGAGCTTAATACAATGGAATGAGAAGACTGGGGTCAGATAAATCTAGTTTCACAACCTCACCGGGCCATTTTCCAGGCTTGTGACTTCAGAAACGTTACTCTCTGTGTAAGTCTAACTTTTTCCATCTATAACTCAAATAAGATTATTTTGAAGATTGAGAAACATGTAATTTGGTCAGGATCTGTACCATAGTAGGAAGTTAATAAATGTTGATTTCCTTCCCCTTACAACCTTGTATAGGTATGTAAATTTCTGTGTAAGATGCCTCTATACACAAAGCCTTATCTTTATGACTCATTTTAATGTGTTGATTTTATCATGGAAAGAGCATTCCTCCCGCTGTAGCTAATCTATCCCGTGATAATTCAACTGACTGGCAACTAATATGGATAAGAATCCACCTGGGGAATTTATTAAAATGTGGGTTGCCAGGCCCGCAATCCAGAGATTCTGAGGGTGTGGATTTGGGGGAGGGCCTGGGAATCTTCATTTTAAACAGGCAGTGTAAGATGAGGATTAACAAGTGTCAGTTTCTGGGAAGCAGAAGATAGGGAAGACCTGAGCCTTGATATGCTGATTGCAAATCCAGTTTCTTTCTTTTTTTTTTTTTAAGATTTTATTTAATTATTTGTGAGAGAGAGAGCGAGAGAGCACACACAAGTGGGGGAGCTGTAGGCAGAGGGAGAAGCAGGCTCCCCGCTGAGTAAGGAGCCGGATGTGGGACTCGATCCCAGAACCTTGGGATCACGACCTGAGCTGAAGGCAGACGCTTAACCGACTGAGCCACCCAGGTGTCCCTGCAAATCCAGTTTCTATCAGAGCTAGGTCTATGCCCCAGTGTTTTATATTAGTATCATTAA